ACTCTATACATTCCTCCACTGAAGAACAACTCTATACACTCTACCACTGAAGAACAACTCTATACACTCCCCCACTGAAGAACAACTCTATACACTCTACCACTGAAGAACAACTCTATACACTCTACCACTGAAGAACACTCTATACATTCCTCCACTGAAGAACAACTCTATACATTCCTCCACTGAAGAACACTCTATACACTCTACCACTGAAGAACACTCTATACATTCTACCACTGAAGAACAACTCTATACATTCTACCACTGAAGAACACTCTATACATTCTACCACTGAAGAACAACTCTATACATTCCACCACTGAAGAACAACTCTATACATTCCTCCACTGAAGAACACTCTATACATTCCTCCACTGAAGAACAACTCTATACATTCCTCCACTGAAGAACAACTCTATACATTCTACCACTGAAAAACTCTCTATACATTCCTCCACTGAAGAACAACTCTATACACTCTACCACTGAAGAACTCTATACACTCCTCCACTGAAGAACACTCTATACATTCCTCCACTGAAGAACAACTCTATACATTCCTCCACTGAAGAACATGCTATACACTCTACCACTGAAGAACACTCTATACATTCTACCACTGAAGAACAACTCTATACACTCCTCCACTGAAGAACAACTCTATACATTCCTCCACTGAAGAACACTCTATACACTCTACCACTGAAGAACAACTCTATACATTCCTCCACTGAAGAACTCTATACATTCCTCCACTGAAGAACAACTCTATACATTCCTCCACTGAAGAACAACTCTATACATTCCTCCACTGAAGAACACTCTATACATTCCTCCACTGAAGAACAACTCTATACATTCTACCACTGAAGAACACCTCTATACACTCTACCACTGAAGAACACCTCTATACACTCTACCACTGAAGAACACTCTATACATTCTACCACTGAAGAACAACTCTATACATTCTACCACCGAAGAACAACTCTATACACTCTACCACTGAAGAACACTCTATACATTCTACCACTGAAGAACAACTCTATACATTCTACCACTGAAGAACAACTCTATACATTCTACCACTGAAGAACACTCTATACATTCCTCCACTGAAGAACAACTCTATACATTCTACCACTGAAGAACAACTCTATACATTCTACCACGGAAGAACACTCTATACATTCCTCCACTGAAGAACAACTCTATACACTCTACCACTGAAGAACACTCTATACATTCTACCACTGAAGAACAACTCTATACATTCTACCACTGAAGAACAACTCTATACATTCTACCACTGAAGAACAACTCTATACATTCTACCACTGAAGAATAACTCTATACATTCTACCACTGAAGAACAACTCTATTCTACCGCTGAAGAACAACTCTATACATTCCTCCACTGAAGAACACTCTATACATTCTACCACTGAAGAACACTCTATACATTCTACCACTGAAGAACACCTGGGTAGTTTCTCCAAGTATTTACTGAGTGCCTAAATTATTATTCACACATGAAGTTAGAAAGATTTCATTCACTGACTTGTTCAGCCATCAGAAATCATACTGCGGATCTGCAAAGAGATCTCTGTCCTAATTATTTCTCTTACCTCAAGCCAACATCCTCATTGACATTACAAAGTGGAAATCTGAACTTTTTCCTAGCCAATCAGAATTTAAGACAATCTTCTATCTCTGTACATTCAGCAACAGTGGCTGCTGTTCTATTTTAGCCCCTGTCACATGTAAGCAATAAACATACAAGGACAAGCTCAATCTTATGAAATCCTAAGCTGCCCCTAGATATCATTTATTTCAAGGCTCAGATCACAACATCCATAAAAGAAAAGCTTTTCTGATCCTTCATGGACCAGCTCACATTTCACCTTATTCATGAAATCTTTACTCCTGATCTTCTTAGTACAAAATCTCTAAAGTCCTATAATACTATTTGAATTTCTCTTATGACATTTCTCCCGTACTACCTTTTCCATCTTATCTCTAATACTGGAAATTAATTCCTTGAAGTAGAAGACCATATCTTTATATAACCTAGGACCCAATCAGGTTAGAGTATCTATCAAGTATTTAACACTGAAATATATATATATATATATATTTATTTATTTATTTATTTTTATTTTTTTTTTTTTTTGAGACGGAGTCTCGCTCTGCCGCCCAGGCTGGAGTGCAGTGGCCAGATCTCAGCTCACTGCAAGCTCTGCCTCCCGGGTTCACGCCATTCTCCTGCCTCAGCCTCCCGAGTAGTTGGGACTACAGGCGCCCGCCACCGCGCCCGGCTAGTTTTTTGTATTTTTTTAGTAGAGACAGGGTTTCACCGTGTTAGCCAGGATGGTCTCGATCTCCTGACCTCGTGATCCGCCCGTCTCGGCCTCCCAAAGTGCTGGGATTACAGGCTTGAGCCACCGCGCCCGGCCAACACTGAAATATATTAATGTTAAATATTTGATAAACATTAATTAATGAATATATTTCTGGCTTCTATGAATTCTCAACAGTTATTTTAAAAACAAAGAATACAAAAACAAACAAATAATACAAAAAATACATAGTATGTTCAATAACATTTATAAGAAATATTTAGGCTGGGCACAGTGGCTTACTCCTGTAATCCCAGCCCTCTGGGCGGCCGAGGCAGGAGGCCAAGGCAGGTGGATCACCTGAGGTTGGGAGTTCAAGACCAGCCTGAACAATATGGAGAAACCCCATCTCTCCTAAAAATACAAAATTAGCTGGGCATGGTGGCGCATGCCTGTAATCCCAGCTACTTGGGAGACTGAGGCAGGAAAATCGCTTGAATCTGGGAGGTGGAGGCTGCAGTGAGCCAAGATCGCGCCATTGCACTCCAGCCTGGGCAACAAGAGCGAAACTCCATCTCAAAAAAAAATGTAAATATAAATCACTGGAACTAAACTTCATTTGCTACAGTTGAATACCTGTCATGAAATTCACTCCCTTAGGTTCAACTATTCAAAAAATTCTTACAGATGAATAATTTCTTTTTAGGGCCCAATCTCAGTTATATGTACTTTTCTTGAGACAGAGTCTCATGCTGGAGTGCTGTGGTACCATCATGGCTCACTGTGGCCTTGATCTCCTAGGCTCAAGCCATCTTCCCACCTCAGCCTCCCAAGTGGCTGGGACCAGAAGGAGGTCCCAGGCTACCACACCTGGCTAATTTTTTTTTTTTTTTTTTTTGAGACGGAGTCTGGCTCTGTTGCCCGGGCTGGAGTGCAGTGGCCAGATCTTAGCTCACTGCAAGCTCCGCCTCCCGGGTTTACGCCATTCTCCTGTCTCAGCCTCCCGAGTACCTGGGACTACAGGCGCCGCCACCTCGCCCGGCTAGTTTTTTGTATTTTTAGTAGAGACAGGGTTTCACCGTGTTAGCCAGGATGGTCTCGATCTCCTGGCCTTGGCCGGGCGCGGTGGCTCAAGCCTGTAATCCCAGCACTTTGGAAGGCCGAGACGGGCGGATCACACCTGGCTAATTTTTAAAATTTTTTGTAGAGACAGGGTCTCCCTGTGTTGCCCAAGCTGGTCTCAGATTCCTGGATTCAACTGATCTTCCCAAAGTTCTGGGATTACAGGCATGAACCACTGTGCTAGGCTTCAGTTATACATATTTTGAGGATACAATGGGATGTTAGCTGTAAACACAGAATTATGTTCAACCTACTGGAGATTATTTTTATGTTTTTCAACATACAGAATAAAAATCAATTTGGAAGTTAGTTTGTCAAACATATTTTTACATATCTGAAAAAGGTTTAGTTCTTTTATTTGAACAAAGATTTATTCTAAAATTCTGATATTGCTGATAAAGAAGTTAACAAGCCATATATATTAGCGTTCAATTACGGCCTACAATCGAGATGGTTATAAATAATATAAATACAAAAATGGTTATATATATATAATGGCAATATATAATGGTTATAAATAACATAAATATAAATAAATAAGCTTCCAGCAGATTGTCAAAAATAACTAAATGTATAGAGTTCCACATTATATCTAAAGCATTCAATTCTGAGTGTCACTTTGGAAGATTCAACAAATCCTAAAGTTCTTGGATGATAAGACAAGGAGTCTGAAGGTCATTTTCTACGCAGAATGTAATAGTAGTCTCCACATAATTAAAGAGTTCTCATACACAAAAGAGAATTTGCTTTCTATAACTTTACTAAAGTGCCAGGCATGCTTTAATTCAAATTAAGAGGCCAAGCACAGTGGCTCATGCTTGTGAGGTAGCATACTCTTTCGCTGAATATATTTAAGCTGGAGTTAGTCATCCATTAGGCAGACTATTAAAGGAACATCTCACTTGGATGGAGATAGGAGCTCATGATTTATAAGATCCTTTGCAATTCTAAACTCTGAATATAATTTAGACTATGTGGCCGGGCGCGGTGGCTCACGCCTGTAATCCCAGCACTTTGGGAGGCCGAGGCGGGCGGATCACAAGGTCAGGAGATCGAGACCACGGTGAAACCCCGTCTCTACTAAAAATACAAAAAATTAGCCGGGCGCGGTTGTGGGCGCCTGTAGTCCCAGCTACTCGGGAGGCTGAGGCAGGAGAATGGCGTGAACCCGGGAGGCGGAGCTTGCAGTGAGCCGAGATCGCGCCACTGCACTCCAGCCTGGGCGACAGAGCGAGACTCCGTCTCAAAAAAAAAAAAAAAAAAAAAAAAAAAAAAAAAAAAAAAAAAATAATTTAGACTATGTATAAACTGAAGTTACTTTTAAATGACTTAAATGTTTAAGAAACAGTGTTATGCCTATTGAAGGCTACTGAAATTTTTACCAGGTTTTAGATCTAAACAAACACCTAGTCATACAGGAAACAGAAAACACAAAGAGTACTGATGCATTTCCTCCACATTAAGCATACGCTAAAGACAGTACACTATGAACACACAAATAACAGCTTTTCATTAAAGCTTCCTTTCAAAACTTACCAGAATTCTGTTGGATTCCCCATCGTACTCTCATCCTGAATTGCCGGGCACCACTTTGCTGGAGGAGTCTTCTATTTAGTCTTGGAAAATTCTGCTTCTTCCCTTCCTTTCGATTCAACTTGATGATATCATCTATGATAGAGGAAATGCCAATTATTTTCATTTTAACTTAACTCAATTACTCAGTTTCATTTTCCAGCTGATAAGATTTCCTATGTTCCTAACTTCTATTTTGAAAGCACTTCCATAAGAGGATAACAAGAATCAGCCATTTTTCAACAGCCCAAAGCAGATCTACCAATTAATGAAGAGTGCAATTAGCCATAGTATTTCTTTACCTGATGAATCTAAGCAGAAGCCTGTTTACAAAAGTTATTCCTACTTACTTTCCATAATGACAGAAGCCTCCATTTTTTAAAGATGACCCCCTTCTGGCCGGGCACAGTGGCTCATGCCTATAATCCCAGCACTTTGGGAGGCTGAGGTGGGAGGATCATCTGAGGTCAGGAGTTCGGGACTGGCCTGACCAACATGGTGAAACCCTGTCTCTACTAAAAATACAAAAAAAAAAATAGCCAGGTATGGTGGCATGCGCCTATAATCCCAGCTACTCAGGAGGCTGAGGCAGGAGAATTGGTTGAACTCGGGAGGCGGAGGTTGCAGTGAGCCAAGATCGCACCACTGCACTCCAGCCTGGGTGACGGAGGGAGACTCCATCCAAAAAAAAAAAAAAAAAAAGGAAAAAAAGATGACCACCTTCCAATATGTAGGTAATCAAAAATTAAACCATTCAACTAAAATACTAAATGCTGAAATTCAGCCAATATTTATTGAGCATATACTACATGCAGTGAATATATGTGTCAGGTTGTGCTGTAACTGAAACAAAAGTAAAATACGGTCCCTTTTCTAAGTAAGTTTAAAAGTACTGATGGAAACAGACATGCAAATAGCAAATACAAAATTAAACAAGTGCCATAATAAAGGTATAGTACAAAAAAATACTAATGGCTCACCTCTAGCAAAGTACTTCAAGGTTACCTTATTTTTCTTTGTACACGGATCTGAGCCTCATTACTTCCAAACATACTACCAAACTGCCCCAAGGTAATTCACAAACAAAAATACCACAACAGAACAAGGTGAAGACCAGAAAATTAAATGTACTCCAGATTCCCATTTATATCTGTTAAAAGAGGTTACCAGAAGCCAAACATACTCCTTTAAGAAATATCCAGCTGGGCACAGTGGCACATGCCTGCAATCCCAGCACTTTGGGAGGTGAGATGGGAGACTACTTCAGCCCAAGAGTTCAAGACCAACCTGGGCAACACAGCAAAACCTCATCTCCACAGATAATTTTTAAAAATTAGCCAGGCATGGTGGTGCGTGCCTGTGGTACTCGGTACTCAGTGGTGCGTGCCCCAGCTACTCGGGAGGCTGAGGCGGGAGAATTCCTTGAGCTCAAGCGCTCGAGGCTGCACTGAGCCACGGTCATGCCACCGCAGTCCAGCCTAGGCAACAGAGCAAGATTGTCTCTCAAAAAAAAAAAAAAAAAAAAAAATATATATATATATACACACACACACACACATTTTCTCCACAGTCCTAATTTCAGTATTATTTGATAATTGAGAAAGCAAATAAAACAAAGAAATTGCATACAGTCAACAACTTCTTAATAAAACTCTACAAAACTAATTAAACTCAAATTTTTTTGTCACTATAATTAGTCTTTCCAGAAGTCAGAGAAGGAAATATAACTTGAAGGTCCTTTGTAATATATTACTGTTCTACCTAACCCATCTCTAATCTTTAAGACTCTTAATTACACTCAAATATTCACACAAAATCTCTCAAATCTCCCCCAAAGTATTTAGTTGTCTTCTTAAAATTAATGTCCAACTGCGAAAGAGTTCACAGTTCATCAAAGTTAAGGGCACTCAAAAACTTTTGTAAAAAATTAAAAGGTCTCATGAACATCAGATATATAAACATGCATCTCAACAAGCATCAAGCGAATACTTAGGAAGACACTCTTTATGAGACACTGCTTTCCTTTAACAAAGTGCTACTTACTCTTCATCAAAAGTCTAAAATCTCAAGCCTTGAGAGTAAATCAAAAAAATGAATTTGGTCTGGGGAGCATTAAAAAAAAAAGAGGCAAAGTACAATGTTGACTAACAAAGTTAATCTTAAAATACAGCATATGGGCCGGGCGTGGTGGCTCAAGCCTGTAATCCCAGCACTTTGGGAGGCTGTGGGCGGATCACGAGGTCAGGAGATCGAGACCATCCTGGCTAACACAGTGAAACCCCGTGTCTGCTAAAAAAATACAAAAAATTAGCCAGGCGTGGTGGCGGGTGCTTGTAGTCCCAGCTACTCGGGAGGCTGAGGCAGGAGAATGGTGTGAACCCGGGAGGCGGAGCTTGCAGTGAGCCAAGATCGTGCCACTGCACTCCAGCCTGGGCGACAGAGCAAGACTCCGTATGAAAAAATAAATAAAATAAAATACAGTGTATAAAGTCTAAATATAACTAAAAATGAAAGTAGCAGAGCATATTAAATACAAAATTACATTTCACATTTCAACATTTTACTACCTACATCTTCAAATAAGTCAAATGAGCTACCATGGCTGAGGGGCTTCTCTCAATCTAAAAAAAGAAAATGCCTTTCTCCTGCCCAGTGAATAGATACAGAGGTATCAGAATTTTTTTTTAAAATTCCTTACAATGAGCTATTTTAAGTTTCTCCCCTAGCACTAGGGGAATATACATGGTAATAGTAATAGCAGCAGCAGTAGGGGTGGTAGTAAGTACTACAGTACAGGCATTAGTAACGTTAGTACCAACAGTTCTGACATGTATGCACTTAATTCACAACAATCCTATGAAACAAGTATCATCATAACACCCATTTTCAAATTAAGAAATTGAACCATGAGGGCAGCTATTGGTAAACTCGGTACTCTATATGAAATTCATATACACCTAGCAAAGCCATGATTTAAAACAAAAAAATCAGGTTCTAAAACCTCTGCAAACCTGGTAAGATTAAACATTCACAAAGCATAATAACTGTCTAAGACAGACGATCATCTCTTCATCCCATTTCTGTAAAATTCTCACCAAAATGCAATAGAGAGGCTGCTGTGCGTTCCTGGGGGAAAGAAAGGGACCGAGCTGCTTCAGCTCTCCACAGCACTTCACTGCCACCTCCAAGAGAACGACCCCTTGATTGTCTTCACTTCAACGTACTAGTCATCAAACAAAACACATACAAAAAGCAAACAGGAAATGTAGAAACTTAAGAAATCTAGGTGTAAAACGGTTTGAGGCTCTAGAACCAGACTGAAATCCTGGTACTACCACTTAACTAACTCGTACGACTTCAAGCAAGTTACTTAATTTCTCTATGCCTCAGACTTCTATAAAATGGAAATCACAACAAATAACAAAGGCATATATACAAACATACATATATATAGTGTGTGTATAAAAATAACAGCCATATATAAACATACACTCATATATAGTGTGTGTATAAAAATAAAGCCATATATACAGACACGCACACATATATATAGTGTAGTATAAAAATAAAGCCATATACAGACACACACACATACATAGTGTAGTATAAAAATAAAGCCATATACAGACATACACACATATACATAGCATAGTATAAAAATAACAGACATATATACAGACATACACACATAAACTGTATGTATAAAAATAACAAAGGCATATATACAGACACACACATATATATAGCGTATATATAAAAATAACAAAGCCATATATACAGACATACACACATATATAAAGTGTATGTATAAAAATAACAAAGGCATATATACAGACATACACACACACAGTGTATGTATAAAAATAAAGCCATATATACAGACATACACGCACATATAGTGTAGCATAAAAATAAAGGCATATATAGACATATACATATATAATGTATGTATAAAAATAAAGCCATATATACAGACATACACACATATATACAGTGTATGTATAAAAATAACAAAACCATATATACAGACACACACATATACATAGTGTATGTGGAAAAATAACAAAGGCCTATATAGACATACCCATATATATAGCGTATGTATAAAAATAAAGCCATACAGACAGACACACATATATATAAAATGTATGTAGAAAAATAAAGGCATATATACAGACACACACATATATAGAGAGTACGTAGAAAAATACAGTGCTGTATACCAGGCCCTGTTCTAAGCAGTTCACATATGCCTTCCGACTCATTTAGTGTTTTCAGCAACCCTATGTGATAAATACTAATTACTATCACCTTTCTACAGACGAGGCACTGGGAAATCATCTGCCCACGGTTACATGGCTACAAAGTGGCAGAGGCAGGACCTGAACTGAGACAGTGTGGATCTGGATTTCACGCTGTCCATCACTAGGAGTACAACCCTCCCAGACTTATCATGAGGATAAACTGAGTTAATATACAAAATGCTGGCCGGGCGCGGTGGCTCACGCCTGTAGGGGAAGCCGAGGTGGGCAGATCACCTGAGGTCAGGAGTTTGAGACCAGCCTGGCCAACACGGTGAAACCCTGTCTCTACTAAAAATAGGAAAATTACCGGCCATCAGTGGTGGCGGGCGCCTGTAATCCCAGCTACTCAGCAAGCTGAAGCAGAAGAAGCGCTGGAACCCGAGAGGCGGAGGTTGCAGTGAGCCGAGATCACATCACTGCAATCCAACCTGGGCAACAGAGCGAGACTCCATCTCAAATAATTAATTAATTTAATTTAATGCTTAGTCCAGGACCTGAACTGAGACAGTGCGGTTCTGGGTTCCATGCTCTCGATCTTCTGCTAGAAGTACAATCCTCACAGAGTTATTATGAGGATAAACTGAGTTAATGCATAAAATGCTTAGTGCAGTACCTGGTAGGTAGTAGGCAATCAATATATATATAAATATTCATTATTACATTATTTCTTGGCCTTACCGCAAAAGGTTTCTCATTTTTTTTTGGGGGGGGGGGGTGGCGGACAGGGTCTCTGTCTACAGCCCAGGTTGGAGCGCAGTGGCACAACCTCGGCTCATTGCAACCTACGCCCGCGGGTTCCAGCTATTCTCATGCCTTAGCTGGGATTACGGGCACGCGGTCACCACGCCTGGCTAATTTTAGTATTTTTAGTAGACACGGGATTTCACCTTGTTGCCTGGGCTGGTCTCAAACTCCTGGACTCAAGCCATCTGCCCGCCTCCGCCTTCAAAGGGCTGGGATTGCAGGCTTGAGTCACCGCGCCCAGTCCCGGCTTTCTCATTTCTCACAAGCTCACTACTAACCAGCAGCAAGGCAAGACTTGAGGCCAAACCTATTATTTCTGATCGTTTCCTTAAATTCACATATTGACTGTGGCAATCCTAGAAACCAACAGTTCTCTTCTCACCTGGAACCAAAAATGTTCCACCAGATAAACCACAACAAAAGACACACAAGACAAATGGGAAGAAATGACAACCGAAAGAAGGTTTCCCAGACGGTTATTACCCCAAAGACCGTCCTGGGAAACGGTACGCCTCGGAATCCACCAGTCAGGTACTTTTAAACATCCGAAAAGCTGCCGGCCGAAGAGCTGGCAGAGCTGACTTCCACCCAACGCCACCGAATCCCGACAGACATGTTCGTACTTCAGCCCAGCCAAGCTGACCACAGCGGCTGGTGCCTGGGTAGCTTCAGGGCTGAATTTCAAAGGAATCAACACCCCCCTGCTTTTTACATAATCGACAAGAAACCACGCCGGCCCTTAGGCACGCTCAAGAGCCCCACGCCTGACCTGGCTGCCCAGCGAGCCACGGCAATGTCTCCTTCCAAGATCGCTGCATTCTCCCCACGAGCTAACTCGGAGGCCTGGAGAGGGAGACCGTGCTTTTCCAGCAGCGCTCAATGCACAACACCCCGCCGGCGGCCGAGCGCCGCTTCCTTTCCGACACACGCTCCGGGGCCGCGGCCGGAGGTGGCCCGAGAGTCGCGCCCGGCAGCCAGGGAAAGCTCCGGCCCGGGTTCGACCGATCGCAGCCCGGCCGGGCTCTCACAGGTCTTTCTTCAGAGGGCACGGTCGGTCGGACCATTCCGCTGGCTCCCGGATAACGCCCACCGCGAACGCGCTCCGGGGAAACCCGCGGACCCGTCCTCACAAAGAGCCGGCGGGCGGCGAGCCGTAGCCCCTCGGGGGGGAAGAGACGCCCCCCGCGACCCTCCGAACCTCCGGGCCCGCAGCGCCCCGGTCCCCGCCCCCACAGCCCCTCCTCCGACCGCCGCGGCCGAGGGGACGCCCGGGTCCCTCGCGGTCCCGCCGGGCACCTGGCGTCCAGCCTGCGCTCCCGGCTGTCCTCGGGGCCTCCGCTCGGGTCCGCCCACCCGCGAGAAAACTCCGCGGCAACTGCGGCCGACCGCCCCCGCCCCCACAAACCGCGCCGCCTGGTTCCGCCCGCGCCCTCCCCCGCACTCCAACTCGGTCCAACTAGGCCCCTCACCCAAAGACATATCTATTTTGTCGAGGTTTTCATTGCTGCGGGCCTTCGGCGGCGGCGAAGAGGTGGCCGTGGCTCCCACCAGCCGGGTACCAAAGCGGTTCATGGCTGGAGACGTCGCGCTGGGAGCGGGCGCCGGGAAGGCCGGAGTCGCAGGCCTGCCGCCTCCCACTCGCGCACGCAGCCCGCCGCACCGAGGGAGCGCGCACGCGCCGGCGCCGTCCTCCGCCTCCACCCGCGGCTGAGGGCGGGGCGGGGCCACCGACGCTCGCGGGCGACCAGAGCGGCCCCGCGCCGTGACTCGCTCCTAGCGGCCCTCGCAGGACCGGACGAGGCATTGCAGCCGCCGCGCTGGGCGCTCGCGAGGACCGCCGTTGTGAGCAGCTCGACTTTCCGCCCAAACTGGGGGAGCCAGACCGCGAGCGCCTGTGAATCGTGTGCCTTCGGTGATCTCCTAATCCTCCGTGTACTTCGAGTCCCTCCTGCTGCAGACAGGTCCCCTGTACTTCGGTACACGCGCGCCTTGCACGCCCACTGCAGTGCAGCCTCGGAGGCAGGACAGACCCCTGCGAGCGTAGACCGCAGCCGCATCCCAGCTCCCCTCTCCCTGCACGCTCCTCCACCTACAGCTGCGCTGAGCTGCCGCCTCTGAACGCAAAGCCAACGCTGCAGTGACGGTTCCCGCGTCACCTTAACATCCAAAGTAAACGCTAACGTTTCGCGTATCTGTACCATCTCTCAATCGGCACTCTCCAAACGTTTGGCACGGTGTTTACTACCCTAATAAGACCTCAGCTTCCCTTGGGAGGGGTAAGGACCTCTGTTGAGGCAGCTGCATTTTCCTCTAATTCATTTGCATTGGGAATGGATAGAAGGGTTCGTTTACTTTTTAATCATTCCTACGGGAAAACACCTTAATATCTGATGAATTTCTGCATGACAACTTTTTTCCTTATTTCCCTCCCTTCTTACCTCATTTGCCTTCCCTGAAGTAACTGCCTTTATGTGGAAGCATTTAGGTTATATCATCCTCACAACAGCTTGAAACTATCTCGGATATTTACATCTAAGGACAACACCAGATGCATTCTGTCCACCTGGAAATCTCTGTCGCCTTTCTCCTCTCCAATTCATAAAGTGCAAAAATTCCTTTAGCATAGAAACGAGCCATCTCGAAACCACAGCACCCTCTGCTTAATTCAGTCATGTCACAATGTCATGTGGCTTCCAACTTCAACACCAATGACACATTTACTATTTTTTGCTTGGGGATCCCATGTTTTAAAATATTTCTGATGCATGTCACACTTAAAAATTAAAGCCAGCTGTTCCAGCTCCCCTTTCCATGCCTGAATTTAAAGCAAAGCTCGGCAGCGACAATTTTGCGGTCACCTTAACAATAAAAGTAAATGCAAACGTTTCCTGTATATATAGCATGGATAAAACCAGGAGTCTTCACACAGATTATGTTTCCAGCTGAAATCAAAGCACCATGACTCTTTTGTAAGCCTAGTAGTCTTATCTTGGGGAAATGTATCATTTTTACTAGGCTTTTGGGAATATTCTAAATAACGTCTTATTCTCAAAGGTCAAGTTGTCCCTTTTTTTCTCATGACAAAGACTTAACAATATATGAAGAGTGAACCACACACCTATCAAGGGGCACAAGAAACTTTAATGGTGGAGGAAAGTTTGGACTCAGAAACTCGAGAACAATATTTGGCATGTCATGGAGAATATCATGTATGTTCTTAGCATTATGTGCTTGATTTTACTACTCACCTGTCTGGACTGCTAAAATCTAGAGAAACTGGCTCATGCCTGTCATCCCAACACTTTGGGAGGCCGAGGTGGGCGGATCACCAGGTCAGGAAATCAAGGCCAGCCTGACCAACATGGTGAAACCCTGTCTCTACTAAAAAATACAAAAATAAGCCAGGCGTGGTGGTGGGCACCTGTAATCCTAGCTACTTGGGAGCCTGAGGCAGGAGAATCGCTTGAACCTGGGAGGCGGAGGTTGCAGTGAGCCGAGATCGTGCCATTGCACTCCAGCCTGGGTGACAGAGCGAGACTCCATCTCAAAAAAAAAAAAAAAAAAAAAAAAAAAAAACACTAGAGAAACTGGGTTGTGGGCCCAGACCTGAGTTTCATTGAGTGATAACTTTTTCACTTACTTTAGTCATTCACTGTATGATTTTGGGAGTCTCTGGACCTCATACTCATCTTCAAAACCAGAAAAAAGAAGTAATAATGGTATGAAAAGTATACTAAGTTATTCCTAAAATTCCTTCCAGTTTCAAAATCCTCTAAGCACAAGTCATTTTTCTCCACATTCGCCTTCTCTCACTAGAAATAACTTCTACAATCTCTGCTCATTTGTGGGAGTAAACTACAGAGACGATCCTTTGGTTAAGTTCTTAATTTTATGGAAGAAAATTAATGCAGTTAAGAGTTTAGAGGCATTTTGTACTTCAGGTATTTATAGGACAGATAAAAATCCCAAATGTATAAAATCCTCCCTACCACTAATATAATAAAGATTCTCGGCCGGGTGCGGTGGCTCACGCTTGTAATCCCAGCACTTTGGGAGGCCGAGGTAGGTGGATCACTTGAGTCCAGGAGTACGAGACCAGCCTGGGCGACATAGTGAGGCCCCGTCTTAAAATTAAAAAAAAAAAAAAATTCTCTTTTATCCTGATCTTCTCCCCCAAACCAAAGCATTATCCCCAGTCTCTACAGTGTAAAGGCCATGCTGCAGTATTTCATTAAACAGTCCTAGCTGCTGTGTTTCAGACTTTCAGGTTTCCCCAAGGGCTGAGAGTCCTGGGGCCTAGGAGCAATCCCCAGATTCCAGAGGGAAAGGCAAGAAAGCAAGAGTGAAGCATTGTGGGTAATGGTAGGTCTTTTCATACACAAAACAGAACAAAATAGCAACCGAGACACACACAGTAAAAATAAAGAGGAAGACAAGCCAAGAAATCAGAACTGGGTCCTGTCCAAGAAGTCCATCAGCCAACCACAAGGGCTAGGGCTAAAAGGTCAACCCTGCAATTTTCTGGGGCAGGAGAGGTAGCTATTCATTTAATCACATATTCATTGAGCGTCAGGCGTTGTAATAGGCCCTGGGGATTTAAAAAAAAAAAAAAAGTGGTGAGCAAGACGGATGCACACCCTATCTTCACACAGCTTGAGGAGCAAAGAATATCTCAGCACCTACTGCGGATAAGGCCCCGTGCTGGACAGGGCATTCAGCCTTTGTCTGTCTGCGGCAGTTCCACAGCTTCACCTAAGTCAAAACAAACGTGGAATCCAAGAAGCTGCCCTTTTAAAAGACTTCGTTTCACACAATGTAGGTAAAACAACATCCAGGATTGCCAGATAAAATGCAGGGCCAGCTAAATTTGAATTTCAGATAAACAACGGACAATTGTTTAGTACAACTACGTCCCAGGTTTCAGATAAACAGTGATTATTTATTTTTTTTTACTACAGTAAGTTTCATGTAATATTAGGATATATTTACAACAGAATCATTTCATTGTGTGAAATAAAATAATTCAAACTTAAAGCTGTTGAAACTTTACATTATTCTGAGCCTTGAGAGGGACGTGGCTGCGTGGCACGAGTCCAGCAGCAAGCAGCTGTAACTTCTGGTTTTTCCTGGAAATGATCTGGAATGATTGAGGAGTGCCAGAGATAAGACCCCTCTGAACATGACACCCCCTCACAGAATATTAACGGAATCTTGTTGGAATGTAGCAAGTTATACTAATCAAATCGTTATAACTGTTTCTGCCTGTATAAGTGAAATCTTAGCCTCCTCACTCTGGAGCACTGACCCCAGTCCTCTGGAATCGTGTTTCTGGATGGCTATCCTCAAGCTTTGTGCTGCAGTAAACTCTATACTTAATCATATTTTCTGAATCTCATTATTGAAGGTTGACATTTGTTTAACTGAAATTCAGTTTCAACTGGAGTCTTATATTTTATTTTATTTGCTAAATCTGGCAACCTTCTCAACCTCATACTTTTCTTTCTTTCTTTCCTTTTTTGAGACAATCTCACTCTGTTGCCCAGGCTGGAGTGCAGTGGCACGATCTCACTGCAACCACCGCCTCCCGGGTTTAAGGAATTCTTTTCCTCAACCTCCCCTGTAGCTAGGATTACAGGTACACAGCACCACACCCAGCTAATTTTTGTATTTTTAGTAGAGAGAGCATTTCACTATGTTGGTCAGGCTGGTCTCGAACTCCTGACCTCAGGTGATCCACCCACCTTGGCCTCCCACAGTGCTGGCATTACAGGCATGAGCCACCGCTTAACCTCCAGCTTAACCACCAGCTTAACCTCCAGCTTAACCACCAGCTTAACCTCATCGTTTTCTGTTAACTCTTTCTGGCTCCTTTTTCATAATGTGCACAGAAATCTACAGTTCTTCAAAGGTAGTAAGCACAACTCTTACACATTTCACCCCTTAACTTTTTATTGGTTTGATTTGCCTTTTTTTTTTTT